ACGTTATTCATCAATATAATAAACGTTAGGATCAAAGCTTCAATAAATATCCAACAAGGACGAGTTAATCCTTCAAAAAAGCACAATTAGAGAACAGCAATAATGGTCAATAATATGGATCAAATACTTTTATCGCTTATGTTTAATTAAGTTTACAACAAAATGAAATGATTAAGCTGTAAAAAACAAGTTTAGTACCAAATTACGATCATAGATGGCGTCTTTAGATTTTTGTTCTGTCTTTAAATATTTTGTTTCTCTCTACGTCCTTCTGTTCTACTATTAAAATGAATACAAATAAGCAAAATATAAAAGCTTAATCCTCAATATAATTTAGAAAATAATTACTATTTTTTGTGTAAGTACATTGATTGTCAAATGTGCAATTATCTAAGTAATTTAAATGCTCCAATTATATATTTTTCGTTTTAAATGTATATAAAGAAGGAACGTATAATTAAGACTTTTGGGTGAATCTTCCGTCGACGTTTTACAGTTAATAATTGCGGTTTTTGAATGAGAAATTTGACGTGCAATTAAAGGGCATTTAAGGGAGTAATCCGAGGGACCGCGGAAAATAATGTAATTCAGGAGGGTCGTTCATTGCGTTGGTTGAAATGAGGAAGAGAGAGAGAAATTGGACGTTGAATGAGGAAGAGCAGGATAGGGGATGGAATACCCGACGCAACCACCGAAATCAATTTATCACAACGTTCGTCGTCCGTTTGACATGTTACGAATAGCGAATCCTCCTCTATTTATCGAATGTTTTCTCTTCCTTTTTTTTTGCCTCCCTTCGTATGTACAAACATCCGTGCCTGCATACATACATACACACAACGAGTAATATCTATCTTCAAGATAAACATATTTGTACGAAAATAGCATTCCCTTGGCCTTCGGACTTTCATGATTGATGACAGTTTTCGGATACGAATTGGTCACTCGTCCTGTTTATATATTTTATATTATTTCTTTTATTTTGTATAAAGATATATTATCTGAAATTTTAGAATTTAATTTTTTTTTCATATAGATATTTTTTTAAAATTTGTATATTTCAGTTATTAATTAACATAACGTAACAGCAGTTATATGAAAAGATGCGCAATAAAAAAGCGCTTTTATGCAATTATAAAAATATTTGTGAAGTTCTATACTTTTAGAGAAATTATAAACAAAAATTAAAAAAAAATTATTGATAAAATTGATTTTTTTTTCATAAAATAATTTTTAAAAAATATATAAAAAAAATTATTAAAATAAAGTATACAATTGATATTAATTAGTATAATTAACAGATTTCAAAAAAATGAAGAGCATTAATTAATTAACCCCAAAAAAATTAAATCTTTCCTAAATGAACCCATTAATTTAGGACCTTAATTAATAAAGTTTTCAATTCATTTTTCATCATCGTTGATTCATAAAACTTTATAATTAAGTTTTGCTTCGTTTTTCCATCAATAAAGCACCTAAAATCACGCAACGCGGAAAGAACAACAGATCTTCTATTGCAAAGCTTTTGTGATGTTTCACTAATTTGAATCTTACGCTGAATCCGATTCGAGAGTCGCGAGAGATTCCAAAACTCCGAGCATCATCCGGTAATGCGATTTCCTCTGCACAAAAGGAAACACAAAACTTTTCCTCGGCATCACTTCAGCAATGGATACGGTGTGCCGTTTAATTTGCAAAGTGGAAAACCTTTGCGCGTTTCAGATGAAATTTAATTAATTCACAAGAAGAAATATCATCCATCCGAATATGCAGGAAAATTGAAAATAAACAATTTTCTTTAGAGTAAATATTTCAACAACATGGTGATAAATAAGTTACTTTTGTTGATGTAAACATAACTTTTTTCATTTAAAACAATAAAAAAATGTATATCTTTTACAAGATGTTAGGTAATAATTCTTCAATACAAATTCATACTTTAAGAATAATTTAGTTCAAAATAGAAGTTAATAACAAATTTAAAACTATGAAACTTTCTTTAAAAAAACTTTCAGACATGAATGAGATCTTTAAAATTGATGGATTAAATTGCTTGATAGAAGTCTATATGTGTTATCTGCAAATGAGTTGGAGTTCGTTTTCGTTATCTGGAATTGTGTAGAAAGAATCAATTGCTCACTACGTGTTTGTGTGTGTATTCTGTAGTATTTGTATTCGTCGTTCGGTTAATTGCTCGTATGACTTCTGGTCATAAATCATATTTTTACTGTCATGTCATGTAAATGTAACGTTTTCTAATGTGACCTACACATGCGATTATAAAAGGAAGTTATGGTACATAATTTCAAATAACTACTTTTCTAATTACAATGTATATTTTGTTTCAAAATTGAAATGATTATTAAAGTTAATTTTACTAATTAATAATATATGGCTGAAGACGGCTTAATCTTTACTAATTATAATAAGTATATAAGTCAATAGGTAAAATTAACTAGTTCTATCGAGTTTAATACTAGTAACAGACAAATTACAGTACTTTCCAGGTGATTGCGTAAGCCCTTCCCATGGGTTCATTAAAACTGTTGGTACTGGAGGCGACGGGCATCGATCCCGGTACCTCTCGCATGCTAAGCGAGCGCTCTACCATCTGAGCTACGCCCCCATGGTACTACTATAAATGCCCAAATTTCGCGATCCAATTTAGGTACTTTTCGGTTGATTGCGTAAGCCCTTCCCATTGGTTCATTAAAATTGTTGGTACTGGAGGCGCCGGGCATCGATCCCGGTACCTCTCGCATGCTAAGCGAGCGCTCTACCATCTGAGCTACGCCCCCATGGTACTACCATAAATCCCCAAATTTTGCGCTCCAATTTAGGTACTTTCCTTTGATTGCGTAAGCCCTTTCCATGGGTTCATTAAAACTGTTGGAACTGGAGGCGCCGGGCATCGATCCCGGTACCTCTCGCATGCTAAGCGAGCGCTCTACCATCTGAGCTACGCCCCCATGGTACTACCATAAATCCACAAATTTCGCGCTCCAATTAAGGTACTTTCCAGGTGATTGCGTAACCCCTTCCCATGGGTTCATCGATGAGATTTTAATAAAAATTTGGAGGCGCCGGGCATCGATCCCGGTACCTCTCGAATGCTAAGCGAGCTACGCCCCCATGGTACTACCATAAATCACCAAATTTCAAGCTCCAATTTAGGTACTTTCTAATTAATTCCGTTAATCTTGAATTATATAGATGGTTTGTTTAAACCTAATCGTAATTTACATGTACCATTTATTTTATATACCTTTGAGAAACTTAATAAATCATGTAATCTAAATATTGTGAATCCAGCTTACCGCCTCGCAGCAGTCCAAATCCAATAAGTACACAGCGCACCTCTCGCAGTTCAGCAGATCCTGTGCCTCTCGCATTATCTTCGTGACCAGACACTCGAGGTTGTTCTGCTCCTCGAAGATGCTGCGCGCCAAGTTCAACAGTATCTGCAAACACACGCACGAACTACGTTTATATTTGCCGAAGATGAAAAAGGGGAACGAACAAGAAAAAATCTGAGCTGCGTATACATTTTTTTTTTATTCTCTACATCTCTTTCCTCCTCTACAATTTTTTTGTGTTCGTTTGTTATGCGGAGGGCGATGAATTGACTTACTTGATTCCGTCTGTACTCGAGCACGGAAACTTCGAAGAGCTGAGCGTTCTGAATCCCAATGCCGCAGAACGTGAGGTACCTTTGGAAAACTTCGACATCGTGTGAGGTGAACTCGTCGGAGTCGTCCGTTTTATTGATGATCTGAGCGACGCCAATCACGTCTCCATCGTAGTTGCATATGGGCATACAGAGGATCAGATTCGTCTTGTATCCTGTCCTCATGTCAATCTCACTGTTGAAACGAGGATCCTGCAATCAAGCAATAATTTTCATTAAAAAAAAAAGATTCTTTAACTTTGAAATAATAGTAAACAATACGTTCATAGTTACGTAATTAACAAAACTACTTTGGCAAGTACATATATTTTCAAATACACTACTTGCAAAGAAATCTTTAACATTAATAAAAGCTTTGAGCAATTATCATGAAATGTTATTCTTTCCAATTAGATTTAGTTGAGTTTTCTTGTAATAACAGAAGCTAAAGGAAATTGCTTTTAAAACAAAACTAGAATAAAAAAAACAAGATTTCGTTTTATACGCTTTTCGCTAATTTCTGAGTCGAGTTAATATCGTTTGCAATTATATTTCCTCCCCTTTCTCGCATTAAGATAATGGTAGTGTTGTGTTCATGTTTATGGTTATTGCAAACTTTGTATTCATTACACGCAAATGCGGTTCACAAATGTTGCATTTACGTGCAATGAATCGAAGCTTCTACCAAAGTTCTAAAACTTCCGAACGAATTCAAAACGTCGGAAATGTTTCATTCAAACAGTGTAAGAAAATCGTATTTATGTAATAAATTGAGATAAATTACATCATAATACATAATACATTTTCAAAATTTAACACCACACCTCCTAAATTTCGAACATCTATTATTTAATTGCTGAAGTATTTTGTACATTCTGTATAGATTCTTATTGAAAACTAACATCAAAATTTAGAAATAAAAGATGTATTAGGAATTCATAAGACATTTCCAAAATTTGACATCACACTTCCTAAATTTAGAAAACCAATTATTTAATTCCTGAAGTATTTTTTACATTCTTTATAGATTCTTATTGAAAACTAACATCAAAATTAAGAAATGTACGTTGACTTAAGAAAAAAATA